TACAGTTTATTGTTGCTGCACATATACTTATTGAAAACAACAAGATATAGTATTTTCGGCAATATGACTACTACCATACCAAATTGGTCGTTGGTGATACCTATCATTTGGGTCTTCCGTCAACACTTATCAGCTTTTGCACCATGAGTCGGTCCATGCACATCATACCAGATTTAATCATGACACTCCGTTTACAACACTAATTTACATCATTATAATGTAAATGTGCATAACCTGTGTTTTCATTGAGAGGATGCTTGAATGCACGGTAGTGCTTTCAGCATCCTCTCACTAGTTATTTACAATGTGCCTCAAGATTTTATTTATGGAAAGTCCAATCATTTCCAAAACATTTCAACAATGTTCTTCTTATTGAACATTCCTCTACTCAACACCTTACTCAAATCATTCATTACAATATATAATCTTTACCACTTGTTTTTTCATTTTCTTCCAGGCGAGATAATTCAACCAGCACCTGTATCTCCTAATGGTTCAACTTTTTACTTTATTCTTACTCAAATTTTTTTGTAAACTTGTTGTATATTGATGGTTAAGATAAAAAATAAAAACTTGATTTTTTCCTTGTTCACTACAGACGTTTATTCTATTCACACTATTTTTACATGGTTGTCTTCCAACTAGTCATGCTAAGTGATGTCTAATAGCAGCTGGCCAAATTACAATCGAGTGGTGGGTGGGTCACAGTCAAGTACAAATAAGCCAGTCACTGCCAAAGAACAAATATAATCATTCTTTCCGATCAAGTACTTTAACCTCCCCCTCTTGATTCAAATGACATATCCAAAAGACTTAAGACATCACCTACTTCCTATAACACACAACACCATATTCACATAATTGTTCATACATGTATACATTGTCACAGCAAAATCAATTACATAAATTTACCAACGGCTCCAGCAAATCATCTGCCCATATTAACTATAGCCTCTTTTGTAATCCCTCTAATACTTATATTTTGTGCTTCAATTACATAATGTTAGTCCAAAAATGTCAGCTTCTATTATTTGAACACAATCCTATTATCAAGGTCACGTTTGTATTGCACTGGTCCCGCTAACTCTGGATGGCGCCAGTTATTGTAAATACATAGTGTTCTTCCATTGACACGCAGATCGCCGCAAACCAACCGATCTGACACATACCGCGCGTGGAACTATGGGAAAAGTGGTCGGAACTATTTCCACTTTGTGTCAACACAGGTGGCGCTATTCGGTTGGTTTGCGGCGAGCTGCGTGTCAATACAATATTGAGAAAAATTAGACCTTTGACCTTCCAATTTACATGCATTTTAATGTTAATAAAATAAGATATTCTGATGAGTGTTGTGTGTTATTTTAATGTATCAACTCATTAAAGATTAAATCTTGCTAAAAATCGGGAGAGGATGTGTTCAAAACAAGAAAAATACTTTTATATAGTTCCGCGGCAGAAACGCTGAGAAAAATGGTAGCGGATGGATATTTAGCCTTCAGAGGGTAGTTATGCGTCATAAGACACAGGTCTGTGCTGAATAGCGCCACCTGTGTTGACACAATGATTGTTCTTCGACACTCTACAACAACATACTTGTACCCTGTTGAATAGTTAAAATAATGAGATATCATGTTTTAGTCCATTACACGCTCGAATATCACTGTTATCTCTAAATGTGTATACATGTAATTCTGAAAATATGTTTTTGACGCTGGATTTAAAAACATTGCCCTGAATACAATCTATATTTATGCAAATTACGGCTTGGGCATTGTGTATGGCTTTTCAAAGTGCAAGCTCATTTAATGACAATATACAATCTCTAGCCGTAAAATGGTGTATAGTAGCTTTATTGAAACTATTATGTTGACAAATGTAGATATATCTAATCACAGTAGACATAATAGTCAAATTCTACGTCAATTGAGAAATTATTTTAAAGGCAGTTTTTGTACCCATGTACAGGGAGATACAAATTTGGCGGATTATTCCAGTTCACTAACTGTCAATATTTCAACGCAAAGATGAAGTAAACATTACGTTACTATTCAGTTTTGGTGTATATCTCACATTGTTGGCAACGTTAAAATTGTTTTCTATTCTGAATTATTTCAACATTGTATTATGGAAATGTTCTACAATCAGAAACGTTTTAATAATATGATTATTACCAATTATGAATACATCGAATGTACATTTAGAATGTATAAAAATTGCAAATAAAAAACGAAACCTGCAAGAAACATTGGGGAACCTTACTGCTGTATTTATTGTGTTTGTTTATTTTTTGAATTTTGACTTTCATTTTAACAAATACTTTTGTTATAAACTACCAAAAAAAACTTGTTTGCTATTGTACTGTATTTTGAAATATTTTACAATTTAATGATGATAATAAGATACTTCATTCCAACCGTAAATAAGATATTTGTATGATATTTATTCTATAATTTGAGTATGCATACGCTAGTGTGCATAATACTAACGATTACAGTAATTTGACATTTCAGTGAAGGTTTTGATGTATAAACACTCGCGTCTTGCATTGTTGTATTTAATCACACATAGCCATTACATTAATACAGGAACGATAGTTTCTAATAGAGGTCATTTTCTTTTGTATCAAATGAAAAGATGACTAACCTGAAGCAGGCATCTTATTATATGAATACTATCCGTATTCGTCTTTATTGTGTCCAGACGCATTGTGATGGTTAAAAGAATATAAATGGATGTTGGTAAGTGTCACATTTCGAAATGTGTTACAGTGTGGTATTTCTCAGTGAACTGATATGTCTTTGTAATTAGTAAACTCGTGAAGGTACCGATGATCATCTTTCTTGTATAGAAATATTGAAATGTGTCCTCCTTGTCAGTTTAACAGTACAAGAAATACGAGTAATATTTAGTTTAATTGGGATTTAGCGCCATTCGAAAAAGGGTAGCGTACAACTACACTCAGCTTTTGGCCCACTGTTTTGGTACTTCCAGTAGTTATGATAATTACACTGCTATTTCCGAATCAACACTTCTTCGTCATATTTTATGACTCGTACCATTCAATTGTACGTGTTGTGAACGGTGCTCCATCTCGTATAAAGTGATGGCGAGTTCCTTTGCTTGGAATACGTTCGTTCGATTGATTATTATGTATTATTGATTATTGTGTACATTTCGGGTTATATAAAATAAGCGAATAACTTGAAACGTTTGGCGTTCAACGTTAAATATGATATAAACAGTGAACGACACTGGTGTACAGGCACAAGAGGAGATTTTCATACTCCATTACAATAATCGAATAATTGATTGAATGTTTGCTAAAAAGATCATTGCTTACTGTTAAACTACTGGTTGATTACAACATATTTTAATATGTCTACACTACATTAGTTATATTCTCATATTATTTAGGGTCACTGATTGGATTCTTGTGTAGACTGAATAAAACAATTGATAAATTATTAGATATTCAATCTAAATGATATTACTTACGGCGCGGTTAAAATATTATCTATGATTGTGAAAAACTGCCTCGATAAGCAAATATCCAGTGTTGTATACGATATATAAACTACTATCAATGATAGCCGCTCCCCTACGACCACGAAGCCGCTGTGAGCATCAAGTCCTTTAATAGTATTTTTTTTCAGTTACGACAGATGTACTGATGTTCTTTTTTTTTATATATATATTACTTTGTCTTTTTTATTTGATTTCGATATTTTGCAAGTCATATTCTATTTTATATAATATTTTGAGCAAAAAGAAAGGCTTAATTTTTGGTGTGACAAAATATTGACGTGTCGTACACTTACAAAGTATTTGAAAAATGTTTGATTCATCATACCACAACAGAATACACCAGATTAATTCCAAGCAATTGAGAATATTCAACTATTTACGCAAACTATTCATCAAAATATACGTCAGGTGGTTCTAAATATAAAACATACTTATTATAGAGACCAGTTCACAGGCAGATGCAAGGGACACGTTCAAATAAATTCCAAAAACATTTATTGTGCACAAAAATACGCATACATAAAATAAAACAAACAGAGTTACAACTATGTAATCAATATAGATCAAAGTAAAGGTACATTCAATTATAGATAATTCGCTCACAGCAATACAGTTACCCCCTCCCCACCCGAACTGAGGCTTGGTTCAACATGAATGTGTTAGATAACGCAACGGTTTATATAACCTCAAGCACTTGTCCATACAATGCACACCATGCGCTGTCCACTCCACCAATCAGCGGCCTCCACACATAATTACAGTTCAATCAGATCGCACGTCACATGCACAAACAGTGACCTCCACCAATTAATATACACGTGTTCGTTTATCAGGTCACATGTCATATCGTAGATAACATTCAATCAGTGTCTTCGCCAATGTATATACGCAGTAATTAGATCACGTGACAGGCATGCCGCATTTCGATCCATACGGTATCGATATATGAGTTATGTTATTACATTGCTTAGGTCCTTCTCACGTCAACTAGGTGCGATATATTTGATAATGAATGTGATAAATGTTTTGTACGTTTGTCTTGTGGATAAATGCTCTGTTCCTATGTCACAAATAATAGCCTCGTAAGGAAGTCATACAATAAACTGTTGTTGATTGATTCATTTCCCAACTAGTTAACAAGCGCTATTGAGATGTATATTAGAAGGAAGGTATGTAGTTGATGCCGCAACGAAGAAAGATGGGCTAAATTTTTTTGGAACTTCTGATATCACCTTTGTTCAGTTTCCAGAATGTTCATGTTGTGTTTGACCCCATTGCTTTTCTGAAATTGTAAGTCGTTTTATGGACTATGGATGTTTCATATTGATGTTATTAGCGCTTTTTAGCAATAATCTAACACCCATACGTTAAATAGCCAAAGTATGCCAGGATACCAATTGTATTGTGTTTTCAATTGTTTCCTAAAATAATGAATTACATTGATATAGGCATTTAATCATACAAGGATATAGCAATTAAATATTATCGTCTACCTCAAACGGTGACGTCACGCCTTCTTGTGACATCCTAGAAACAACATTCTCATGGTTATTAGATGATGAAATATACGTCGAGGTAGTATTACGTAATCCTTTATCAGTGTGACCGCAGATAAGCGTTCGAACCGATTGGCGAAAGGTCTTGTTGATGAACGAATAAATAATCGGATTTATACAACTGTTAGCATACGGCAGCAATAAACCGACGTTCTTAATCATAGGATGCAGGTAGAACTGAGGAAAATACCGAGACACCAGATTGTACGTGCTTAATAAAACATAGCAACAGGTGTAGGCAATAAACACTGCAATCAACACCTTGGCTGTCTTCCAGTGAGCGTTTGAGTGTGATTTTTTAGTTGTTTGGCGGCTAGTTGCCATGGCGACGCCGTTTCTCCATACTTTGTAGACGATAAATGAATACAGTACTGCCGTAATTAATACCGGTAGGTAGAACAAGATCACGTTCAAGTAGACGGCTTTGAAGTCGGAGAACCATGGACCAAATGGTAGAACAAGTTTACAAGCGAATGGAGACTTGCCTTTGTATGTGACGCTGTTGTTTCCAAGGGAACCATAAATCGCCTATAACAGGATATATCGACAATGAATGGTTTTAGTGTGTCACACTAATATACCGAGAGACCATGTGCAAACATTGTTTTCCGAACTATTAACATGGATGCGTTTATTCTTTCGTGGGGTTGTTCATATGAAATATTACACAATTTATATGTTAGTAAGTACACTACTATCAAAGAATTCTTTCAAATCAATTATCTCTAATGAGTAAACCATTATATCAGATTTATCAAATTAGTGTAGTAATATCATGGATCTCGAATTTCGAAACATTAAAATCAACAACAAATTTACGTTAAAGTTGTAGTGTGTACATCCATTGTTGAACACAGTTGACCGTCAGTTTATCGCCTGTTATTGAAACACGTAGTTATTTTTGAAGTCGGTTGAAATATTGACAGCATCTTGGATTTAAAAGTAATTATATTAACTGCCTCACATATTTTATGTGTAATAAAGCGACACGCTCAAAAGTGAAAAACGAAAAGTGGGAAATTAGAAATGATTTCGCATATTTGACTATTAACCGAAAACGCACTTTGGCTAATAAACAATTGAAATATTACGGAAACATTCAAATTTACCATATTTCAAACAGTTAATATATTATAAATAAATTATGTAGTTACCAAACGACCCAAGTTGTTGCATTTGGCCAAATGGTGACGTAACAATGTGAAATTGTGTGTTCAATATTGTTCAAATTGCCGATAAATTGTGTAATATTGTGTGAGAATTATATCAAAAATATCACATGATTTTATCAGATGAAATTTGTAAGATATATGAGATAAATAGCTGAAACCATAATATGTACAAACATGTATGTAAGGTTATGATAATTTCATCATGCTTCAAATTAAACTACGACATGAATGGAAACTATATACAGACATGTATTAAGCGATCATGGAGAAATTGAATGTAAACGATTAACAGTTTGTTGTTCAAATATTGTTAATACAAACTACGCCCTCAAGTAGAATTTGTTTGGACGGTGGCGCGATCCAATCACATAAGATGGCGAGCCAACGGGTAATTGACCCATTTAAATTAATTTAGAAATACAGTTAACAATGTTAAGCGAAGATTTTTTCAAAATCGACGAATACTAGTAACTAAGTGTCAACATGGCTGAAATACTAGCAACAATTGTTATCCAGTGAAGATTTGTTGACTTCATACTGGTTTTGTTGGATATAGCGCCATCTTAACTTACAACGGAAGTGACGTATGTATACGACAGTGGGCAAAACAACACCAAAAAGAAATAACTAATTGTAAATAGAAATGTATTGTTTTCAATCAAGATATAATCAATATAATTTCTGAATATATATGCGTCAATTGTTCACACCTGCAGTGATTTACAACATGACTCCCTAGAGTGATTTACAACATGACTCCCTAGGTTTCTAATAAAGATATCACTGATACACTTACCTTGAACATAAAAGCCGTAGGCATGGCGGCAACGCAGGCTAACAACCACACAATTACTATGATAATACGTGTTCGTCTAAGAGTGAATCTGACTCTGAAAGCCATCGGGAAATGTATAGCACAGAATCTATCTATTGCTATGGCGACCATTGTGAAAACTGTTACATTGAAACCAACAAAACGCAAATACCGCAAAACAGCACAGGAATAGTCAGTTTGCCAAAGGAACGGCCAGGTTGCTCTAAAAAACTCAGTAAGATGAAACCCGACAATAGTTAGCGCCAGTATATCACCTGAAACAATAAAAAAAAAATATTCATTTTTAGATTTTGTTTTAGCAGACGACTACTTGAATTTCGACTTCCACAAAATAGACCTCTATAAACATTGCTTGTTTGCCAATTGTGATGATAAATAAGTATTATTAAAATCATAATAATATGAAAAGTATATATTAAGAGGGATTTCTCGAAGCATTGCGTCCTCTTATGAAGTGATTATATGACGTAAATAGGTCTAGGGGACGCCGTTCAGGGCGTCGATATCGTTTTGATGTTCGTCAGTGAAAAATAGTGTTTTCATGGTTTCACTGAATTCTGAACGATGAATAAAAAACATTTTTGTGATTATCATCAGTCATGAAAATAACTGCATTTGTTCCCTAATAAAATCCCTACCTGATGATTATATTAACAAGGGAATATAAAATGCGGAAAGTAATCATCCTGAATTGTATGAGAACATTGAGTAATCGAATTGAGTAATTGGTAAACAAATTTTATAGAAAGATAACAAATATATGTAATAATTATAACATGACTCGATCTTTGTAAATGGTTTTAAAGTACACGAAAATGTGTGTTGCGTGCCTGTAATTTAACGACCGACATCTAAAATGGCAAAAAGTAGCAACATTTTCTCAATTTAATTATTGTTTGTGCGTAGTTCAATTCATTCTATAACTGACATTCATCCTGGCAGACGAGATTCCTCGAAACGTGTCATGGATGAACTGAACTGTTTAGAAGTATGTGGTAAAGAATAATCCAGCAATAATTTAATGAGCTTCATTCATCGGCAGAACAAGTTAAAATGAGCAAGATAGATTTCAGCGCATGGTACAATGATGTGCTCGATTCAAAGACCGGGCAGTATTCTATCGTAGATCCCTCTCCTGGTATTACAGGGATATAATCCCCTACCTAATCTAAATCGTTTGATTGGGGTCAGTCCGGGTATGCAATGCACCAACTTTTGGGTGATCAGATTTCTGAAAAACCTACACCTTCATTGAAACACATTTTTCTAAAAATAAAAAACCATTGAAACAAATCTACAATAAATTGGTCTATCATGTCTATCAACACAAAATAAGTACGGCATTTTTTATTTTCAAAAATGTAAAAAGAAACCCCTTGACGATTGAAAGTGTAAAAGGTCCCCTTGTTTATTTTAAAACATAATTTACAGACCCAATGTGCCTCGCATACACATTGGTAAGTTTCCACTAGTAACCCTCCCCCCCCCTGGTCGTTAGGCATGATGACCGATAATTTAGAATCTATATTAAACATATAGACGATGTTATATCCAGGAAATACAATCTTAACCTTAGCTACATGTAGGAAAAAAAAAACATTGCCCAGATGAGATAACATGCACCTCTCCATGTGTGTATAATGGTACACGCCAACGCCGGCAATTAAGGTATATTTGCAGTATATTTGAGTCGCTCCGATATTTTAACAGCCTCTAGCAATAATTATCTGAGTAAGAAAAAGCTAAAGAAAATTCACACCAAGTTCCCACGAACCTGCATCTATAACACAGATTGTCGACCAGACAACGGAAATACTGTATAATACTACACGTTTCCCTATTAACAATATACAGGTATGAATAATTTTCACAAGGTGCTTCGTTGCAAAATCCGTTAAGTAAACAATGCTCATAAATACATTCATGTATGTTATCCTAAGCTCAAACCGTCAGAATATATATACACTTTAGTAAATACATGACAAATAGCTTACTGAAACTGGTTTAATTCAAATTATATATATTATTGGTTGCTACCTTATTAAATATTAAAAACGCAGCACACATCCCACCAAAGAAAAAGCCGCATTACTAGTATGTTCTTGTAGTGGTCTGAGGTCTGATGAGACAATACTTTGCGAGGTGGTGTCGTTTGCTTGTTTAACAGCCCCGACAGGTTACTGCACGACTGCCTTCATTGACACAAGTTATCAATTTGTAGTTATTTAATTTAAAAAGGTCCTCACAAATAAAGCCCTGACACTGTTATAACATGTCTGTTTACCATGCATTGCTCACTGTGCGTAAAGTGGCATGAACGTGTCAATAAATTGTAAACAGAAACTAGCGTAAATTTGCATCAATAACGTCACAAACACATACAATGTCTTCAGACATGCAAGATGTAATCCGTGATGGGCGTGTTTTAGATAATATGTGGTTAGGAGCTTAGAGCTTATAAATGGATTAAAAAGTTTGACAAAGAAGGTCAGGCCGGATGGCAGGTGACCATGTAAGTTGTGTTATGTCATTTTAGTGGTGACATACGTTTTCTCTGGACTTACGATGCAGAGGAACTAAATAAATTTGTCTTGTCATTCCTTCCAGATATCTGCCTTGAATGGGCAACATTTTCACAAGTTTTCCTTGAATCATCTAATATAACAGATTATAAATGGCTTTGGAATAACAAATATAAAATTGGAAATCATTCAGTTTATTTTGAATCTCTGGCAATTAAAAATATTAATAGAATCATTCATTTATTCGATACTAGGGGCAACCTTCACGATTGGAATTTATGACGAACAAAGGGCTTATCAACTTTAGATTACTTACAAATTCATCGATTAAATTCTGCAATGCGGAAAAAGTGGTAAATTCAAATTCATAACAACAGTCACAAGTGGTTTGAACCAGAAAATATAATTTATTTTAATTCATCATATATACATATTAATTCATTAACAAGCAATCAAGTGTATACGTATATGTGTGACAGTATAATAGAATATCCAACAATTAAGTCCTGACAAACTCTATCAAGTGTCTCCAGTGCTTATCAAGAGCAATTTTAATTTACCTTACATTACTACAATTAGAGCCTTTCAGTTGTAAATCATCCAAACATACATCCCAACGTTTTTCAAAACTTTTGAATTGAAGTTAGTAGACTTCCCTTTATGTATCATTTATCACACAGAAATTGAAACCATAGAGCACTTGTTTGTGCAATGCGACTGGGTCGTTGTGGAAAAAACGGCAGCAAAATTGTAAAAAATATCATGTTGAATTATTTTATTTTATTGTTTAAAAAATACATTTACAAATGTAGAGGAGAGGCAAAAATGGCATCATTCTTTGGTTTTGACGCATTCATTAAAGACCACGAACATATGGAAAATGAATTGTCCTTCAAAATATTATATCATTATCAGAAATGGAAGCCGTTTAGGGTATGGATTAAAGGGTAGCTACCCATTCACTGCCAGCAGTCAACACTGACTTTTATAACTATTAAAGTAGTAAGCAAACTGATCAAAAATGTTTTATTTTATTTGAATTACCGACAAAATATGGCAGCTGACATTAATTAGTTCAAAATATAAAACGCCACAATATCCCACATCTAAGTCAGGTTTCAGGTTTTCAGTGTGTGTACACTTTTGTAACTGTAAAGTATTATGTAATTATTATGTGGGAAAAAGTATTTAAATAAAAAAATCACCCGTGCAATAACGTGTGCTGTGTATTTTTCCATGTTACATATAAAACACCTCCAAATCACCTTACAAGAACTACAAGTTTTACACGAAAAGATTTCATTTCACAACACAACACCAGTATTTTATTTAATAAAAACATATATGGTATACTTTGTCAGTGGATACATTCAATGAAATATACTATGTACGTTATTGTCATTCACTATTAATTTGACACGTGAATGAGGTTGATTAAGTAAATTTAGGTAAAAAGGATCAGACTTTTCAGACTACCTTCAAATTTTTAGTAGAAAGTGTGTTTACGTTGCCTCCTTTTTATCCATATACACTCTCGCCAATTACGCATCAAGTAAAACATTGAGTCGTCACATACAACCCTAACTATTATTAATCCATGTGAAACAAAGAGTGGAATATAAGCATTAGAGAAAAATAAACAATGTTACTAAAATATATTGAAACAATTTTGGAGTAATAGGGTACTAATACCAAACCGTTAGTCGCATGACAATTATGCAATATTTCAAAACATGCAACAGACATGCATACCTACATTAACATGGCTAATAGAACTAGAATATAATTATACACATTGAGTGTTGACATTCGTCCACAAAGACGAATCTCACATTTATTAATCTGGATACAGTAAAATTGGAATTTGTTTTCTTTTAAATTATCAGCGATGCATTCAAGTTGTCATAGTAATTCATCCATATAGCAAGATAAATGTGTACATTCTCATTATGTTTACGGTTGAGTCTGTCATTATGCTATCAATAAAAACCACAACATCGGTTATATAATTCAAAGAGACATTTTCTGATTGCATCATCCAAGCATTACTATGTGTCAAATTAAATCCCTGGCTTATCGTCAAAGGGACATTAGCTATTATTTAATGGTCTCCCTAATGTGTTTTCGATGTATTTATGTGTCTTTTATTTGCCAGTTTTACTCCAGGCATATGTCAAAACTCTCCCCAAACGACTGATTAACAAGAAAATCTTAGCCGTGTTATTACGTTTTTTTATCGTTGAGGATTTTTTTCTAGCGTGTTGCTGCTTTCATTTGTGCTAGTTCATATGTAAAATGAAATGCATAAGACCGCAGAACAAACACTATCGAACATGCAAATACATGAGACGAATATCACAATTTCTCAATACGGCAGTCTTAGACTTTGTGTGAGTTATCAGTGCTACTGTGGGTAGAATCATGTAGTCTTAGTGTGAGTTACCAGTGCAAGTGTGGGTAGAATCTTGTAGTCTTAGAGTTACCAG